ACAATCCTTGGTGAATTAAGGTGGGCAACTTGGAATTTGTAAAAGGAGGCAACTTTCCCATTGATACTTTCCCATTGATAATTTTGGAGGTTATAAATCCTTTGCACAGGTATTTTTAATCTTTTTAAAAATATATTTTTTATATTCTTTGTGACTTTGGTGCATATATACGTGTGTGTGAGTGCACCCGTGTTGTGCAATGCCTGAGGAGGTCAGAAGAGGGCATCAGATCCCCTGGCACTGAAATTACAGGTGGGTGCTGGGAACTGAACCCAGGTCCTCTGCAAGAGCAGCCAGCGCTCTTAACTGCTGAGCCATCTCTCCAACCCCACATTATGACGTTTTCAAAATTATCAAATGATCAAGTTAAAGAGAAAATGACAATAATTTTACACACAATGTCTGTAGAGATGAGTACAGAGAGCTCTATGCTTCATGAAGGTGCCTAAACTACCTGAAGTAATTGAAGGTGTGATACAGCTGATGGCTGTAGGGGTGATAGAGTAGTACTAAAACACAGACATGTCAAAATCAGGTAACATAACCAAGTCCCGAATCAGGGGACCAAGTGTCAGATTTGAGAAATGGACACGTGTGAAAACACGAATGCTGCTTCACAGCAAAGATTCAGAACAAGTGAGGGGCTCAGAAGGCTGCGTGTGGGAGGGTGGAGGCTTGCTGCCCAGCGACAGGAGGAAGCCACAGGGGAACCCTGGTACCACAGCCTGACCAGCCCCTACACAAGAACAGGTGTGCAAGAAACCAGGACCGAGACTGGATTGGAAAGGAGTCTGCTGTGGTCTGAATGTGACACTGTCTTCCACGCCCCATGTGTTTGAACTCCTGGTCCCCATCTGGTAGGGCTGTTTGGAAAGTCATAAAACCTTTGGGAGACAGAGCTTTAATGGAGGAAGTGGGCCAGTGGAGACTGGACCTTAATATTTTATAATCTGGTCCATCTTTCTACTGGATCTCTCTGCTTCTTAACTGTAGACACAATGTGATCAGCCACCACATATACCTGCTGCCTCCCTGTCCCCATTATCATGGACTGTATTCTCAACTTCCCTTAAGTTGTTTCTAGTTAGGTAATTTTTCAGAGTGTATGTTTAACACATTCTACTCCAGATGAATGTTTCATATTTCTGTGTAATTAAGACAAAGAAGTTAACACAAACATTAAGAGAAATTTTACCTGAGTTGTGAGATAAAATAATGTGAGAGACATAAAAAAAAGTTCTGTTTTATGGACAAGTTTTAAAAATATTTTGTTTATTTATTTATTTACTTATTTATTTATTCATTCATTCATTATTTATTCATTTACTTATTTTGTGTGTATGAGTGTATTGCTTGATTGTGTCTGAGTGCACTTGTGTCGTGAAATGACCATAGAGGTCAGAAGAAGGTGTCAGATCCCCTGGAACTGAAGTGATAGATGGTTGTTAGCTGCTATGTGGGTGCTGGGGATCGAATCTGGGTCCTCCACAAGAGCAGCAGTGCTGTTAACTACTGAGCCGTCTCTCCAGCCCAGACAATAAGTTTTAAGATCAACTTGTAACAATGCAAGCAGGTATGTCTTTCAGGAGAGTAATTTGGCAATAGTTAATAAATCTATATCCTTTAATCTGTTGACCCAGTAACCTTACCTATAGGAATCTACTCAAAAGTTACACCTTTAAAATATGAAAATGCACATTGATAAGGTTAGTAGAAGTACTCATTGCAATATTGTTAATTACAAGTATTCAAAACCATTCTAAATATCTAAATGAGGAGAGTGGTTGAATGAACTTGTTACAGCCACATAACTGAGTAGACATAAGTCAAAGAGATTGAGGACATTTCCTTTAAAGTAATGAGACATGATCTTCCTGTATCGATACCATATAATCTTCATGTTTGGAAACATGAATAAGAAAAAAAAATACTTTCAGTTTTGGAAAGGAAGTACAAGACACATAAACCAACAACTAGCAAGACTGAGTGTACATACAGGACTCACGGGGATGGGCTGAAAAGAATAGAGACAAAGCTGGAGTGGGAATGGAGAGATAAAATGAAATGACTTTTTTTCCTAATTACATCTTTTGTTAAGTTCTTACTTTTTGAAGGATAGTGTTTCCCATACTCAAAATAGTGACCATACTTAAAGTCACAGGCACACATGAGCATGTGCACACCTTCATGCATGCACCATACTTGCAGTGCACACACATGCAACACAAGCACAAATAAATTTTTAAAATTAATAAAGAAAAGATTGAAGGTTGAATAAATTCAGTCTTTGGAAATATAACTAGGAACTCAAGCTTATATCTAGAAATTGGTAGACAAAAGTTAGTATAGATGCATGTGCTAAGTATTGCATATGTCAAGTCCTCTGGTGAGGACCTAGAAGCAAAGGGCCCATTGTGAAAGTTTGGTGTCTAAATACCATCATGTAGTGAAAGGACCCAAAGCTTTGGAGAAATGCTCAATTCTAGGGCCAACGCAGGGAATGTACGAGCTGGATCTTTGTAGTGGCAGAAAAGAAAATCAAATGGAAGCGCATTAGCCAAAGTCAGGATCCAGGTGAAGTAGCTTCAGTGAACAAATCTGGGACAAGATGAGCAACAAAATAATGACCAAAAGGCACTAAAACCAGGCATGGGTTAATGGCTCAGTGGTTAAAGCACTGGCTGCTCTTCCAAAAGACTTGGGTCTGGTTCCTAGCACCCACACGGTGGATAACAACTGTCTGTAACTCCAGTTCCAAGAAATCTGACCTCCTCTTCCGGCCTCCACAGGCATTGCACACGTGGGTGGGTACATACATGCAGGTAAAACACACACACACACACACACACACACATATATTATATATGATAAAAATAAATAAAAATTTTAAAAGATACTAAAATCCATTGAAAAAATAAGTAGGAGTCTATATTGGTGCCATGGAATTATTTAATGAATTAAAAAATACGGAGAAGTACAGCTCGAACTTACAGTACAGCTTCAGTTTGGAAGTGTGTGGCATGATACAAACAGAAAAATCACCTTTAAGCAAATGCTATAGTGATTAATTTATAATCCTGAATTAATAGATGCTAAAATTAATGGCCCAAACTAATAAAAGTATAAGGTTATGTGTACACACTCAAAAGTGTCTCTCCAAATGTCAATTTATTTTATTTTCCTTGCATTTGTTTTGAAACTTAGAACTCTTTTTGAGTTAGTATACAAAATAATGGATTAGGATATGTTTCACACATGTTATTATTGAGTGTCCCTCATATTTTCCTGCCCACAACTCTGCCATCCTTCCTTGCCTTGTTTCCCTGATCTTCTTCCCCA